CAGAGTCTGAACGACCGGCGAAGCGGGCACGGTCGGTGAGGAATCCGTCGCCCTATCACCCGCAGCTAGGGATGCTGGCAGAAAACCCACATCCAGCTGGAGTGGAAAGCATGACAACCGATGCAGAGCTCTTACTCAATCTCGCGCGGCCTACTAATTTCCGCCCCGGCAACCACACTAAACGAGTCAGCATCGACGAGACCTACCACCACTACACAGGCGACGCAATTCGTCAATCTCGAGTTGGGTTTGCTGCTGTTGGACATGTGGACCAGAGCAATTCCAAGATGGATCACAATTCTGAGGATATTCCTCATGCCCGCATGCGCTCTCGGTCTGACGGGTCAGCCTTCATATCCCGTCCTGCGATCCGTGGAATTCGCCCAACCACTAGCTCTGGCAATTTTCCGCCAATTGTCTGGGAGGATGAACAGGAGGGCAAAGCCTGGCATTCACCAGTCGATACGCCTCACCCTACTCCTTATGGGATCCATCCTCCGGCCGATCTTCAAGAACCTCAATTCCCGCCAAAGACCCTATCCATTCCACCAAAAGTGGAAGAGGAAGAGGGTGATACCAGTCAAGCAAGATGTGGGGCATGTCATCTAGTACGCATCCCAGTTGAGACCGAGGAACAGGACGAAGACACGTGGATCAGTTGCGATGGATGCAAACACTGGTTCCACATCGTTTGCGCCGGCTTCAAGAATGATCGTGAGGTTCGCACAGTCGACAAGTTTATTTGTCGGCATTGTCGATCAGTTCATGGCCAAACAACTTTTGTGCGCAAGTCCTCGCGGGCCCGGACAGCCATTGACTACGCAGGCCTAAATCAAGGTCTAGTCAAAGCTGCTACTGACTCATTGGAACATCACTATCTCGAGCCTATTCGGCAAGGAAAGATCCGATTTCAACCTGAGAATTTCCCCCGAATGAAACCTGAGCTGGTCACAGCGGAATACTTCGAGCGAGGTAACGGGTGGACGGAGCCTATTGTGATACCTGCATGCTGGAACTCTTCCGAACCTATTTCCTCGGAGAATCCAGAGTTCGAGTCTTTGGTACAAGAGGCTTGTTCTCAAGAGATGTTTGATGATCTTCTCGAGAACCACCCAGAACAAGCGAGTCATATTGAAGAAACAGTCGATTGTGGTCAAGACCTCTTAGGTATGGTCATTCCGAAGGGTCTCACTGTCCGTGCTGTGTCAGAGCTTTACGGACCCGAAGAAAGGGTTGAAGTGATCGATGTCAAGTCTCAGCAAGGAGAGGACAAGAGGTGGAACATGCAGAAATGGGCCGATTATTACGAAAGTAATGAGTCGGACAAGCCTGTCAGGAATGTTATCAGTCTGGAGGTATCGCAGAGCAAACTTGGCAGACTCATCCGGCGACCGAAGGTTGTGCGTGACTTGGATCTGCAAGATGCCGTGTGGCCAGAGGAGCTGAAGGCAATTGGCGAATATCCCAAAGTTCAGTTCTACTGCCTGATGTCTGTTGCCGATTGCTATACCGACTTTCACATCGACTTTGGAGGATCTTCAGTGTACTACCATATCCTGAAGGGCAAGAAGACCTTCTTTTTTATTCCTCCCAAAGACAAACACCTCAAGAAGTACGAGGAGTGGTGCAACTCTCCTGCCCAGGACTCGATTTTCCTTGGAAACCAGACCAAAGAGTGCTACCGTGTGGATCTCTCCGAGGGAGACACCATGCTGATCCCGTCCGGTTGGATTCACGCAGTCTGGACCCCGGAAAACAGTTTGGTTATTGGCGGTAACTTCTTGACCAAACTGAACTACGGGATGCAAATCAAGATACTCAACATCGAGAAAGAGACCAAAGTCCCCAAGAAGTTCCGTTACCCTTTCTTCCAAAAGATCCAGTGGTATACGGCTCAAAAGTACCTGGAGGATGACCCCGTCCCACAAAATGTGATGGAAGCATTCATGCAGGATGAGAACTATCGGTTCCACCGTCAATATCCAATTTATTACGAGTTTGGCGAACGCGCCAACCGGGAACCTCCAGGTTCTCCCCATCACAATGCACGTTTTTACTCACAGGCGGAGTTGGAGGGCCTACTTGAGTTAACTAAGTATTTGCTACGGACTGCACTCATTGCGGGTGGCTATACTGTCGATGGAGTCCTCTCCATAGACATTCGAAACGCGGTCAAACGCTCTATCCCCAAAGGTACGGGAGATCCCGTGGATATGATCAGAAAATTCGGAATTTGGGTCGCCTGGAAACGTGGTAACGAAAAGGCACCCCTCTGGACTCGACCCGGCGTCATCGAAAGCAATCCCAAGGTTTCTATTGCAGACAAGAAGCCCGCAGGACGACCCAGCCGCCGATCCGAACGCAATGTCGATAACCAACGCACATATGCCGAAAGACAAGCTGTCCAGTGGCCTTCAGAAGAGGCCCCTGCAACCCCCAATCCCCCAGCCAGCAGCCTTGCTTATGCGCAGTCTGATGGAAGTGCAACGCCGGCGCCATTCAGTGTTGTCTTGGAAACGAGCATCAAAGATATTGCTACACCCAAGTCCCGAACCGTACAACGAGCCTCAGGTCTTGGTCCCAAGCGAGTTGCATGTGACGCCTGTCGCAAGCGACGCATTCGATGTCGACACAAAGATGAACCCGGTGATCTGGTGCTCAACGGGCAAGTCGCAACAAATACATTCACAGCCGGCTCTGGAGTGAGCACGCCGTCGTCATTGGCTCAGGATGCTGTATCTGCTTTGAATTCTTTGGCAGCGATTGCGTCGCAAACGGAGTTCCAGAACAATGGGCATCTTGTTGACCTGGAACGATTCGAGAGCTCAGCAAGATTCCAATCCGCGGTCATGGGCAACTCCACGATAGCCGCCAATCGTCTCATTGATGTGAGCCCTGACGGAATCAACGGAGGAAAAAAGGGACGCAGCAAAGCGTGCGATGATTGTCGGAAGAGCAAGGTTTGTCGTACCCATTGATACTTCTTTTGCTCCTTTTTCTGTTACTAACCTGATTCTAGCGCCGTTGCATTCACGATGAGTACGGTCGGATAGATCCGATCAAGGCCCAAGAGCGCTCTAAACCTCGTGCGAATGCTTCCGCCAAACGAGCACGCCCTGCTGAAGAGGGTGACATGCCCGCCTCAGCCAAAAAGGCGAAGCAGGAGAGTACATCGCCCATGACACAGCCTGCAGCATTCTTTGATCATGATGGCGACGAAATGATGGCGCAAGGCGACCTGATGGATGCCTATGATCACGAGCCTTTCAGTCAAATTGATAAGCATCTGCCTAAGGCGGCTGAGGCACCTCAAAATCAAGCTTTATACGCATCACCACCTGCTTTCCAGGCCGAGCCTGTAGAAGCAAAGGACTTAAATTCTATGTCTGTGTCTTCATCAAAGCCAAACACCTCTTTGGTGTCACCACCCACGTCGCTGGTCGACGAGATGGATGGGGTCCAAGAGGGGGATGCCGTGCAGTCTGTGGAAGGGGAAGTGTCAACTGCTCTCCACACACCCAACTCTAGCTCTCGACACTCATCTCGGCAACCTCGACACGTCGATCGGTTCGCGCCCGATGCAACTACAGCCCGGGCTCCAAAGCAAGCAGCACGAGCCACATCTTCCACCATCGGGGCTCGCAAGACCACTCCTGTTCCAGCGTCGACAAGAAAGCCTTCATCACGTCCCTCTTCTTCACACGCGAAGAAGAGCTCTCCGATGTATGAAAAGCACTTCCATCGTCAAGGCCCTACGTCACTCTCTCCGCGTCAGCACAGGCATACTCAGCATATCACTGGAGATGAGGATGCAGACGAGGAAAGTCTTCGTTTGATACGAGAGCTCCAGGAACAAGAATTTGGTCTGCGGAAACGATCAACAAGGGTTTAATTTCGCAGAGGGCAGATGACAGATGTAGAATGGGTTCTGCTTTATTTCTTTGTTATTCGGGATATCAATTTACCAAGGGTTTGGGATGGGAAATCCGGTGTTTTTTTCTTTCTAAACCACGTTTTCATTTTATTTCTGGCGTTTTCTGGGTCTAGGAGAACTGGGGAGTTTTGTTTTTGGGCTTTTGATATCAAATGTCGTTTGCATCGGGTTCTTTTTCTTTGCCAATCTGCCTTGCCTTGCTTTTTCTAGGTCTGATTTCAACTTTGCCCCGGAGGTTTTTCCTTTATTCCATTTTATTCCCTGTGGATTCTTTGTTTTAATGCCGGGGCCTCTTCACAACCAACACTTTGCTTGATAATCCTCTGTTGGGCTTTCTCTCTCCCTTGGCTGCACACAGCAACGAGGCGTTTTCTGCAATAAGTCTCGTATAGTATTTCTCTCGTTTGTCTAAGACAATCCGCGTCGTTCCCTCATGCATATATCAGCTATAGGTTATGTAGCAATTTCCTGAATCTATGTTTTTTGGTATGTTTGCTAGTTTTACTTGTCTGTAGAGGTCAATTCATTCGGCTCTCATTATTTTCCTTTTTTCTCCCCTTGCCATATCCAGCACTTAAATCTCGTACAATCTTTGTTCCCTAAAGCCCAAAGCCGAAACATCACCGATTTCAAGACTGGCGTGCTCTGACCACACATCCCGGGAGAGTTATATATCTCCACTTGTGCAGCCGACTAACTATGCCACCGGTTCATAACTAACTCTATCATTAGATACTATGTACTTGTTAGTCGCCCGTACACTTGATATATCGGATACTTTACAGAATACGGGACTCTCATGTTCCGGAACCGAATGCAGCCTATATGCCATACATAATATAGTAAGCGCTAGCTAACCCCCTTCCTCCCCCACAATGCAGCCAACACAACACAAAGAGATGATACACAATAGCACATTACTAGCTGCATAACATCGTATCCAACAAAGTCCCCGAGTAGGCAGAGCCGAGATCGATTCCTTACAACACCACACACCATACCGCTTCCTGCTATGTAACGAAACCCCTCAACTCCACCAAACCCCAGGATATCCAACCCAGCTCAGCTAAGTCAATACAGATACCGTCGCGGGCTCAGTAGTCCGCAGCACAAGCGGTATAGTATCAGTCATCGCCTCAGCCGAGCTACTCCAAAGCAGAGAGTACACGCCGTCTGTGTCAGCCTGTCTCGCGTAGAAGTTGGCCCCGCTCACGGTGACTAGAACGTAGCCCCCGTACGTGGACCACACGTTACTGAGCTTGGTTGTGGTCGACTGGTCCGCCGCGGATGCACCGGTAAATCCAACTGGGTTGGAGTCCGCTGTATCGCCTTGGTCTAGACACAGCATGTTGGTATCGGTAGAGAGGGTGGTGAAGTCCGCCGTGGCACTGGAGCTGGAAGTGGGGTGTGCAACCCAGGTGTTGTCAGTGGCGGCGGTGACTGTTACGTGTACGTGGTTAGATGTAATTCCTGTGGTTCTCACATGGTATCAAGTGGAGATCTTGGGTTCTTACAGTTGATTGGGGTCATTGCGGCCATTGTGGTTGTGTCTACTTTGGACGCATCTGCAACTTGGGCAGTACCTGTGGTCAAGGTGATATATATCAGTCAATACTGCTTTTCTTGACTGCTGGGAGGGCTGAGATACCATTCCTGTAGAAGACGGGCAGTCCGCTAATGCCAGTGCCATAGGCATACAGCTTGAAGGAATCGGTTGAGGTTGACTGTCGCTTTTCAAGTGGATGCGCAAAGCAGACTAGCCCAAAGGCTAGAAGGGGAAGAATAGAAAGAAATAGCATCTTGCAATGAACAAGTCATACAATATGTTGGAAGGGTGTCAGGACCAAGCAAAACTTATAGAACAGGAAAGATTCAGGAGGGCATATTCAATGAGACAACAATGTGATTAGAAGCAGGCAGCACCCTAGGAACTAACCAATGATCTCTATAGTCTCATCCGCTGATCTTCTCTCTATTTTCAAAGAGTGTGATCCAAGCCTCCTATTGTGATTTGAACCGGTATGAGCTGACGATACGTAATTTGCAACTCTATCGCAGGATCCCAGTAAACCAGAAACACCCCCATTGCCATCATCAGGCTGCGTTCCATGCTAAAATTCAGATCCCGACTGTTACAACCAGATCGACGATCCACTCGCATGCATTCTGCGTCAAGATTCTCGCAACAATCGACAATCCTGGACAAACCAGCTGATATCTCAAAAAAAGAAACATCCAATATGTGAGATAACAATATTAATGTCCAAGCCACACACGTGGGATGCTTACACTCGTATAAACTAAGGCTGAAACAGGTTACACCGGGATAAAACATGACCGCGTGTCGGGGAGCATAACCCTAATGCAAGGCCCTGCATGCCAGTCTGACTGCGATCGAACTAGAGGATAATATCATCGATGACCGACCTCCGTCATTGGTTCTCTTTGCAAGATTTGACTTTGTTAATCTAAGACACAGCCCTAGTTACATGGGATATCCATCATCTCAAGGGCACTATTACGAGAGAAAAGGCACTATCAAACACCTCCAAGATCAAAGCGGCCAGTGCACACGTGGTGTGATAGACACTCAGAATCTGGGAAGGTCCCCGAGTTGAACATCTTCTTACGTTTGAATGGTGGACTGTCTTTGGCGTGGATACGGGGCGCCTTTCTCTTACTATTCAGGTATCCACTGAGCACATAGCCTCAATTTCCGAGCTGGACTATGACTCTGATGCTTCGCCGGTATTCGTCTGTCGGGTCGTCTTGTGTATCACAAGATCCATTTACACGGCATCGCCGCCGGTAGGGCTGCCTGGCATATCCTAGTGAGGAGTATGCAGGTCACCTCGTGAAAAGAGACATGGAGTTTTCGGTCTTAGTCTCACCTCCTCGTAGTGTGATATACTTATAAGATAGCGGCTTAAATAGGAGACCATTCTCTTGGTTGTGTATCAGCAAGTCCCATTCATTTTCTTCTACTCGAAGTCTTTTCTGGGTGTGTTGCAAGCTCTATATAGAGCTGTATTCGTGACCCAAAGACAATTGAGAATTATATAAGTGCCCTACGTGGGTAAAATCGGCGGCTATGAACCTCCAAGCTTTTCTCCTCCTGGCATTCAGCCTGGGCGCTTCTGTCGTGGCCATTCCACAGAACGCAGCTAGCTCTGTGAATGTCCAGCTACAAAACCACAGACCCACGACAACTACCAAGATCACCAAGCCAACAGGAACACCCTGTGTGGGCAACACGCCCCTAACACGGTCCAGATGGTGCCAATACGACATCAACACCGACTACACCCAGATAGTACCCAACACCGGCGTAACCCGGGAGTACTGGCTCAACGTCGAAGAGCTAGTAGCAGCACCAGACGGGTTCAGCCGGCCGGTAATGGCCGTGAACGGGACTATCCCGGGCCCAACGATCTTCGCAGACTGGGGCGATGAGGTCGTGATCCACGTCACGAACAGCCTACACAATGCCAAGAACGGCACGAGCATCCACTGGCACGGGATCAGACAGAACTACACGAACGGCAACGACGGTGTGGTCTCCATCACGCAATGTCCCACCGCGCCAGGCTCAACCATAACATATAAATGGCGCGCCACGCAGTACGGCTCATCGTGGTACCATTCGCACATTGGCCTGCAGGCGTGGGAGGGCGTGTTTGGCGGGATTGTGATCAATGGCCCTGCTACGGCGAACTACCAGGTCGATAAGGGCAGTCTGTTCCTGACGGACTGGTCGCACCCTACTGTTGATGAGCTATACTTGGAGGCTCAGACGATTGGGCCGCCGACTTTGGATACTGGCTTGATTAACGGGACGAATGTCTTTGGTAATGGGACCAATTCTACGGGCACGCGATTCCAGATGAAGGTCAACCAGGGGTCTTCGTACCGGCTGAGGATTGTTAATTCGGCTGTTGATACGCACTGGAAGTTTATGATTGATAACCATACGCTTACTGTTATTGCGGCGGACTTTGTGCCGATCAAGCCGTTTACGACGGACTATATCAATATCGGAATGGGTATGTGCAAGCCCTAAGTCCATCCCTCCAAACCGAAAAGAAACATGAACTAACAAAAACACACAGGCCAACGCTACGATGTAATTGTAACAGCCAACAAACGCCAAATCTCCGACTCATTCTGGATCCGCGCAATCCCCCAAGAAGCATGCTCCGAAAACGCAAACCCAGACAACATAAGAGGCATCCTCTACTACGGCAACAGTCCAAACACACCCACCACAAGACCGTACACGTTCCCCGACGAATGCACCGACGAGCCAGCCTCCAGCCTAATCCCACAAGTCCCCAAGACCGTCTCAGCCGCAGACTGGAACAACCTAACAGACGTGACACTGGGACGCAACACCGCGAACCTCTTCCGCTGGTATCTCAACAGCACGACGATGCAAGTCCTCTGGGAAGACCCAACCTTACTGCAGCTTTTCAACAACGAGAACACGCCCAACTTCACCGAGTCGAGTGGCGTGATTGAGCTGCCGCGGGCGAACGAGTGGGTGTACCTCATGATCAATACTAGTTTCCCGGTCACGCACCCGATCCATATGCACGGACATGATTTCTTTGTTCTGGCGCAGGGGTCGAATCCGTGGGATGGGAGTGTGGCGACTAATAACCCGCCCCGGAGAGATACGGCGATGCTGAATGGGAATGGGTATTTGCTTATGGCGTTTGAGACGGATAACCCCGGGGCGTGGCTTATGCATTGTCATATTGGCTGGCATACGGATGAGGGCTTTGCGTTGCAGTTTTTGGAGAGGGAGAGTGAGATTGAGCCGTTGATTGATCGCCGGGCTCTTGAGGATAATTGTGCTTCTTGGAATGCTTATGATGAGGCTTTTGATATTGAGCAGGATGATTCGGGGGTTTAGGTATGTGGTTCTAGATAGGTTCGATCGTTATATAGGTGAGGTTCGTATGTAGGTAGGTCGTGTTCTAGTGTTTATATCGCCAATTGATTATATCTGAACATTGTATCTTCTTTGATATCTACGCCTTGCTGTGTTCCTCGGGTTAGTGGCATGGGTGCATTTAGGATTGAGATGTGGACATTGAGTAGAGAAGCCGAGAATTACAGTGATACTAGCTACAGTAATAGTCACGAGAATAATAGCACTATGTATGTTCTATTCACGGGCCATCTAAGGCTAACATACACAGAATCGATATATCGTTAAATCTTTCATAAAACCCCCGAACTAAATGGCACAAACCAACTCCAAGAAGATATCCAAAATCGGTACGTAGGGTTTGTTTTGTCATGGGTCAAATGATAGTCATAGTCACCATCATTACAAGACCACCCACTCAAAGCAGGGTCTTCATGTCATCCATGTTGCGGACACCAACGAGGTTGCCAGCCTTGATACGCTTGAGTGTCAGAGCGGCAATCAGGGCAGCACCAACACCGGAACCATCCTCGGCAGCCATGATGACGACCTTGTCCTCCTCGTTGGGGGCCCAGTCGAGGATCTCACGCAGGGCCTGGGCACCGCGCGCCTGGAAGTGGGGGTACTTGGTGAAGACGGAGCCGTCAGCACCGACGTGGCAGGAGTCGATCTTCTTCTTAGTGCAAATGGCGGCGACTCCGCAGGCGGAAAGACGAGCAGCACGGGTACCGATCAGCTCGGCGAGACGGCGAATTAGCTCCAGCTCCGGCTCGGTAGGGCGGATGTTCAGCGTGAGTTCGAAGAGATCCAAGGTCTCCGTCAGGTTCTCGTAGGGATCCTCTTCGATGTGGGCGAGGAAGGAGGCATCGAGCAGGTAGGGCTTGCGTAGCTTGGAGACGTCCTGGCCGTTGAAAATCAGACCGGGGTGGTTGTCGACCAGGTCAATTAGGACGAGACGGAAGATCTCGCCGAGGTACAGACCAGCGGTCATCTTCTCGAAGGCTTGCTGGCCGGGGCGGGGAGAATCGCGATCGATGATGTCATCATATTTAGTGAGGGGGAGGACCACGTGCTCATTGTCGAAGGCTCCGTATTCGCAGTTGATGGCGACGGGCATGTCGGCGGGTAGGTTCAAGTAGGCGAGCTTGGGAATAGACCCTGCGTTCTCCATGTATGCGGCGTTCACGCCGGTACCGAAGATGCAGCCAATCCTCATGGCGGAGTCGGTATAGGAGGAAGCAATGAGGGTACCGGTGGTATCGTTAATCAGTGCTGCGACTTTGATGGGAAGACCCTGTAGCCTTGTGAGTCTTTGAACCTGCGTGGGGAGGGTATCGTCATCTCATGAACATACACGCTTCTTCAAGATCTCCTCCAGAGGGGGAACAACATCATGACCCTCGACACCGTCGATATCGAAGCCCTTGGTCCAGCGCTGCAGAACACCGTGATCGATGTACTCCTGGGTCGCGGGGTAGGAGAAAGTGAAACCGAGAGGCAGCTTGGCGAGGTTTCCTTCCTCGTGGTGGTACTCGATGAACTGCTGCAAGCAGTCGGCGATGTACTCCCACAACTCATCGGCGGTTCCAGTGCGCAGCTCCTCGGGCATCTTATATTTGGATTGTGTGATATCGAAAGCGCCCTTCTCCTCGGTCAAGGTAATTTCGCAAACACGTAGGTTGGTGCCGCCCATATCGAGGGCCAGGTAGGTTCCTCGCTCGTTGCCATCGGGGAAGTCCAAGACCCAGGTGACATTCATGGGCTATTCGCTAGGGTCAGTCTAGATTGAGATCGGGAATGGTGTCGTTCTCACAATGTTGCCGCCCTCGACGGTCAGGCCTAATTTTTTGTTAGCGACTGCGCAGA